AGGGGCCGCCCGTGGCCGCGCCGACACCGCCACCTATCGGCGCGCGGCGGCGGGAATGTCCCGGTGCCGGCTCCACGGCTGAGGCAGCGGGCCGAACCTCTGCCTCGGCCCGAAATCCGCACGTTTCGGCCCCGCAAAGCGGAGCCCGCACCCGGCGGCTCTGCTCGCTTCGCCCGTGCCAAGCAGGAAAAGCAGGATACCCACGCACTGCGGATGAAACCCTTTCAGACACCTACGACCCCCCTTTATTCCTTACACACACCTTACGAGCCCATACAGCCATTTATGAAAAAAATACTCAGCCACCGATCATCTACAAAAGCACATACGGCACAAACCTGTGGATTCCTAGCTAGCCAGCTGATACTATTCTACAGGAACAGGGAAAATGCCTATTCACTTCTTTTTAAGTTGCACCATAAGGCACTTAGTCTTAAAAGTTGCAGCACATGCATTAATAATTTAGGAAAAGATCCTTCTCCCACCTAACTGTGGTGTTTTTCTCAACAAATACTATGCTCTCATGTGTCACGGAACACAGCAATTACATTCAGTGCCTGTCCAAGTGATCTTCTCTACCAGTAACAGCTTAGAAAGAGAGATGAGACCCCCATGAAAACACTGTCACAAGAAACAGCCAGCCTCTAAAACCACTCTTTTCTAGACCTGCACTTTCAGCAGGTATTACATTGCTTGAAGGCGCAAAAAATTAAGTCAAAAACCTCTTCCATTCTCTACAGCAAACTTTTCCAAGAGCTACAAGTCACACACATCACAGGTGCTGCTCACAGAGAAGTGGGAAAGCCAGGAGGCACGGAATAATCATCTTAAAGCTAAATTTAGCATTTGCGTATCTGCATCATCCTTCTTAGTTTATTTATATTGTCCTAGACTACTATTCTTTCATTCAGTAATGCCAGCAGAGTAGTACAAACTAATCCTGTTCACAGGGAGGTCACATTTAAGAACAAGAATTCCACACAGCCCTTTCCCCCTGCCAGAGAAGGTTCACATCCCACAAGGGTACAGCTCTCATCTCACCCTTTGGATATGTGGGGCATATCCAAGGCACTGCACAGGATAGCACCGAACGGGCTGAACATTAAAGGAAGAGTTTTAGAAAAACCCTTCCCTGTACTTGCAAACGTGTAACAGCGAGTAAACTGAAGCGACACCTTTGAAGGTGTGCATCAGGCTCCAGCTGCCTCCTCCTGAGGGACAAGCACCAGGAGCCATGTGCTGTACCTGCACTTCCCCACAGCACTTTCTCTGCAGAGGTTACTCACTACACACGATGGTGCTCATCGCGCTCAGTGATCAAGTGAGCTGGCAGCACATCATCTGTACTGGAATCTCTATCAACTCCTGTCCCTGACTTGGTCTAAATTCATGGTTTATGACAGGCTGGCCTTCAAAATCAGTAACGTCTCAAACGACTCCTCGCCATGGCAGCACAACTAATAAAACTGCAGCTGGACAAAAGCTCTGGGACAAACTGTCCCGTGTATTTCTTTATCAGAAAAAGGACAGAGTAGGTGTAAAAACAGGCAAGTCCTACCACTGCTAATCAGGCTCTTATAAAAGAAGTTGGAAGATAGCAAACTCACAGGCCTGGACAGCCATATCCTGAAAACTCCTGCTTTGCTGTTGCAGGATAGGCAGCAGACAACTGTATATAGTTCCACTCACACATGTAGAAATAAAGTCATGGATGCATTCCAAGATGATTGTTGGTTCTGCTGTAATGACTGATAATTATCAAACGCCATTATTCTGTTTACAACAGAAAAATTATACCATTCTCAAACTAAATTAACAACACTGCCATCTTTAATCTATATTAATCTACACAAAGAAGAGATAACACGTATGATCCCAAATCAAATTCCCACTAAACTCATTAACCATCTTCCATTAACTTCAGTGGGTTTTTAACAAAATCTGTCATTTATTTTTAGATGCCTACAAGCAGAGTTGTGATTCAACAGAAAGCTGTCAGCTGCGTAACTAGAACTGCATATTAATATGCATGTTCTGCTTTGCCCACTCTATAAAAAAGCAAACCATGAGTGTCCCTTTATGGCAGATCATCTAAGAAACAAAAACCCCATGATATGAATTACTTTAATCTCCAAAATTGCAGTGAAATTTTTTGGGAGAAGAGCACTGCTATCTCTGATGTTCTCATTTCAACACCGCATCATCTGCCTGACAAGGACAGACAACGAACTCTAAGGACTGTGCTTTTGCTGTTGGTTTTAACAAATACTTCATTTGTGAAATAAAAAAGTATATGCAAGATTTAAGACAGTTCTCCAAACTCAGTTTTCCTTTAGAAGGAGGTCAAGATTACTACTGTGTTACTCAAAACCTTATAACCACCTCATTAACAGATAATGCACAGTATGTACTCCTCAAAAACCTTAAAATCCTGGGAGTAGGGGTGAGAAAGGCTTCAGAATTCCTTCGTTTGGTTAAGGCATTCTAGGTCTGCAGTGGGTTGGACAAATTCATGCCCCAGGTAGGACACACATTAGAAGCCTATCTTCAGAGCACCCCAGAGCACACAAACTGCATGAAATGACAGAAAAAGCCTCGAGATGGGCTCCTGAGAAATCAGTAGACTGGAGTACAATACAGCAAACAAGTAGCTCAGCAGCATCTTTGATCCTCAGACAAACTGACTTCTTAAACTGAACATATATACAGCAGTCAAAGACTTTTTAGTATATGTCACCTTTTGTAATATTTCAGCTCTTAAACACCGCTCCTCTCAGTAAGTAATCTGTTGTGTCAAGCTATTTATGCTAAGCACTTGAAGAAAGTGCTTTTCATTTCAAGCACATAATGAGGTAAACTACAGCACAGAATCATTTTGTCTCTATGCAAGTCTGGTTTGTCATCTTTCTCCATGTGTGTTAAAAAGTTCTTTAATTTAAACCATTTCTCTTTTAAGTACCTTGTCAGTGTATGCTGCTTTCAGATGACAACATTAAAAGCTCTCAATAAGCATCTTCTGAACATAAATGTCATCTTTTGATGATGTTACAAAGATACCACACCAGAAACCATATTAGAAAAACAGCAATTGCTGTCACAGCACACTTGCATCTTAGGCTCAGATCTTGTGAGCTTCAATTATGGTTTTCAATTGCAGAAAGCAAGTAGTGAAGAGGTTAAAAATAAAATCTGCTATTTACTCAAGAAAAGGGTACAGTAATTAGATTCTACCTGACTCTGCATTCCACTTGGCATCTAAAAATGGTGAATAAATGGCAGAGTACTATTCTGCTTCAAAATTCATAGATTCAAAACTCTTTGTGCACTGACAGCAACCTCCCCAGCATACAACTTTTGCGAAATTGTG